AACTGTGTTGCTGCTGTGCTGTAACTGTGTTGCTGCTGTGCTGTAACTGTGTTGCTGTTGTGCTGTAACTGTGTTGCTGCTGTGCCTGTAACTGTGTTGGCTGCTGTAACTGTGTTGTACTGTGTGTGAACTGTTTGTGCGTGCTGTAACTGGTGTTTGCTTACTGTGCTGTGTGCTGTAACTGTGTTGCTGCTGTGCTGTGACTGTGTTGCTGCTGTGCTGTAACTGTGTTGCTGTTGTGCTGTAACTGTGTTGCTGCTGTGCTGTAACTGTGTTGCTGACTGGTGCTGTATACTGTGTTGCTGTTGTGCTGTAACTGTGTTGCTGCTGTGCTGTAACTGTGTTGGCTGCTTGCCGTGCTGTAACTGTGTTGCTGTGTGCTGTAACTGTGTTGCTGCTGTGCTGTAACTGTGTTGCTGCTGTGCTGTAACTGTGTTGCTGTGTGCTGTAACTGTGTTGCTGCTGTGCTGTAACTGTGTTGCTGCTGTGCTCAATGTGTTGACTGTGTGCTGTACTGTGTTGTGCTGTGCTGTGATGTGTGCTGTGTGTGGCTGTTGACTGTTGTTGCTGTCTGTGCTGCTTGTAACTGTGTTGCTGTCTGTGACTGTAATTTTGTGATTGTGCTGTGTGCTGTAACTGTGTTGCTGCTGTGCTGTAACTGTGTTGCTGCTGTGCTGTAACTGTGTTGCTGCTGTGCTGTAACTGTGTTGGCTGACTGTGTTGCTTGTAACTGTGTTGCTGCTGTGCTGTAACTGTGTTGCTGCTGTGCTGTAACTGTGTTGGCTGTTGTGCTGTAACTGTGTTGTACTGTTGTGCTGGCTAACTGTGTTGCTGCTGTGCTGTAACTGTGTTGCTGCTGTGCTGTAACTGTGTTGTCTGTATGTGCTGTAACTGTGTTGCTGCTGTGCTGTAACTGTGTTGTGTTCTGTGCTGTAACTGTGTTGCTGCTGTGCTGTAACTGTGTTGCTGCTGTGCTGTGACTGTGTTGCTGTTGTGCTGTAACTGTGTTGCTGTTGTGCTGTAACTGTGTTGCTGTTGTGCTGTAACTGTGTTGCTGCTGTGCTGTGACTGTGTTGCTGTTGTGCTGTAACTGTGTTGCTGTTGTGCTGTAACTGGTGTTGCTGCTGTGCTGTAACTGTGTTGCTGCTGTGCTGTAACTGTGTTGCTGCTGTGCTGTAACTGTGTTGCTGCTGTGCTGCGACTGTGTTGCTGCAGTGCTGTAACTGTGTTGCTGCAGTGCTGCAACTGTGTTTTTGCTGTGCTGCGACTGTGTTGCTGAAGTGCTGTAACTGTGATGCTGCTGTGCTGTAACTGTGTTGCTGCTGTGCTGCGACTGTGTTGCTGCAGTGCTGTAACTGTGTTGCTGCAGTGCTGCAACTGTGTTTTTGCTGTGCTGTAACTGTGTTGCTGCTGTGCTGTAACTGTGTTGCTGTTGTGCTGTAACTGTATTGCTGCTGTGCTGTAACTGTGTTGCTGCTGTGCTGTAACTGTGTTGCTGCTGTGCTGTAACTGTGTTGCTGCTGTGCTGTAACTGTGTTGCTGCTGTGCTGTAACTGTGTTGCTGCTGTGCTGTAACTGTGTTGCTGCTGTGCTGTGACTGTGTTGCTGTTGTGCTGTAACTGTGTTGCTGTTGTGCTGTAACTGTGTTGCTGCTGTGCTGTAACTGTGTTGCTGCTGTGCTGTAACTGTGTTGCTGCTGTGCTGTAACTGTGTTGCTGCTGTGCTGTGACTGTGTTGCTGCTGTGCTGCGACTGTGTTGCTGCAGTGCTGTAACTGTGTTGCTGCTGTGCTGTAACTGTGTTGCTGCTGTGCTGTAACTGTGTTGCTGCTGTGCTGTAACTGTGTTGCTGCTGTGCTGTAACTGTGTTGCTGCTGTGCTGTAACTGTGTTGCTGCTGTGCTGCGACTGTGTTGCTGCAGTGCTGTAACTGTGTTGCTGCAGTGCTGCAACTGTGTTTTTGCTGTGCTGCGACTGTGTTGCTGCAGTGCTGTAACTGTGTTGCTGCAGTGCTGCAACTGTGTTTTTGCTGTGCTGCGACTGTGTTGCTGAAGTGCTGTAACTGTGTGCTGCTGTGCTGTAACTGTGTTGCTGCTGTGCTGCGACTGTGTTGCTGCAGTGCTGTAACTGTTTTGCTGCTGTGCTGCGACTGTGTTGCTGCAGTGCTGTAACTGTGTTGCTGCAGTGCTGCAACTGTGTTTTTGCTGTGCTGCGACTGTGTTGCTGAAGTGCTGTAACTGTGATGCTGCTGTGCTGTAACTGTGTTGCTGCTGTGCTGCGACTGTGTTGCTGCAGTGCTGTAACTGTGTTGCTGCAGTGCTGCAACTGTGTTTTTGCTGTGCTGCGACTGTGTTGCTGAAGTGCTGTAACTGTGATGCTGCTGTGCTGTAACTGTGTTGCTGCTGTGCTGCGACTGTGTTGCTGCAGTGCTGTAACTGTTTTGCTGCTGTGCTGCGACTGTGTTGCTGTGAGTGCTATCACCTGTGTTGGCCGGATATGTACCTCGACTTGGCTATTGTAGCAGCAACATTAACTGAGCTCAATGACAAAGAAAGCTGCCGAGTAATGCAGAGGAAAAATAAACGACACGGAAGCCAAATATCACTGCATTTACTGAGGAGAACATCAGTGCAAGTCAGAATTATAAAATACTCATCTTGTTTTCTATATAATTGTCTCCATCATGGCGAGTTTATGCCACTGATATGTTTTACGACACCCGAATTATTCCATCAGGACACTGGAGCCCCCCGGGCCAGTAAGTACTTCCGGGAACACTGCTGGACGGCCACGGATAACCACATTACTACACCGGAAACGAAGGGAAAGGAGAGTAAGGAACAAGGAACACATTAGTCAAAATACCGAACAAGTTCCTTGGGGATGCAAATCTTTAGCTCAAGATCTTTCGCACTCTGTGCGTCGTCAGAAGATAGTAGGGGAATAAATTCTCTCTGAGACAAAAGGAAGAAGCGTCAAGCGTTGGGCCACATCACAGAAAGATCATAATCTAAAGATTTCCATTCCTATGTGGCTTGTTCTGCGTTGTTAAGAACGTCTGTTTGAGGTCGCATTGCGTGAGTCAAAATGTGAGGGACAGTGTCTGGTTCATTAGATAAACTGGCATTCAGTGAGGTGAGGAGGAGACAGCAGCAGCGTCGAGAGAAGAAATTGTAAGAAAATTTGCAGTTTGTGTTATTTTTACATTAGGCTTGAGTTAGGCGTCATGTTTGTGCAGTGTTGAAGCACAAGTGGGACGTTGCCAGGGTCAGGCAAACTCTCTGTGTCAACACAGTGTGGCAGAGATCTCTGTGTCAACACTGTGTGGTAGAGATCTCTGTGTCAACACAGTGTGGCAGAGATCTCTGTGTCAACACTGTGTGGTAGAGATCTCTGTTTCAACACTGTGTGGTAGAGATCTCTGTGTCAACACAGTGTGGCAGAGATCTCTGTGTCAACACAGTGTGGTAGAGATCTCTGTGTCAACACTGTGTGGTAGAGATCTCTGTGTCAACACAGTGTGGCAGAGATCTCTGTGTCAACACAGTGTGGTAGAGATCTCTGTGTCAACACTGTGTGGTAGAGATCTCTGTGTCAACACAGTGTGGCAGAGATCTCTGTGTCAACACTGTGTGGTAGAGATCTCTGTGTCAACACTGTGTGGTAGAGATCTCGTGTCAACACTGTGTGGTAGAGATCTCTGTGTCAACACTGTGTGTAGAGATCTCTGTGTCAACACAGTGTGGTAGAGATCTCTGTGTCAACACTGTGTGGTAGAGATCTCTGTGACAACACAGTGTGGTAGAGATCTCTGTGTCAACACTGTGTGGTAGAGATCTCTGTGTCAACACTGTGTGGTAGAGATCTCTGTGTCAACACTGTGTGGTAGAGATCTCTGTGTCAACACAGTGTGGTAGAGATCTCTGTGTCAACACTGTGTGGTAGAGATCTCTGTGTCAAACACTGTGTGGTAGAGATCTCTGTGTCAACACAGTGTGGTAGAGATCTCTGTGTCAACACTGTGTGGTAGAGATCTCTGTGTCAACACAGTGTGGTAGAGATCTCTGTGTCAACACTGTGTGGTAGAGATCTCTGTGTCAACACAGTGTGGTAGAGATCTCTGTGTTAACACTGTGTGGTAGAGATCTCTGTGTCAACACAGTGTGGTAGAGATCTCTGTGTCAACACAGTGTGGTAGAGATCTCTGTGTCAACACAGTGTGGTAGAGATCTCTGTGTCAACACAGTGTGGTAGAGATCTCTGTGTCAACACAGTGTGGTAGAGATCTCTGTGTCAACACAGTGTGGTAGAGATCTCTGTGTCAACACAGTGTGGTAGAGATCTCTGTGTCAACACAGTGTGGTAGAGATCTCTGTGTCAACACAGTGTGGTAGAGATCTCTGTGTCAACACAGTGTGGTAGAGATCTCTTTGTCAACACAGTGTGGTAGAGATCTCTGTGTCAACACAGTGTGGTAGAGATCTCTGTGTCAACACAGTGTTGTAGAGATCTCTGTGTCAACACAGTGTGGTAGAGATCTGTGTCAACACTGTATGGGTGGGGATGTGGCGGTTTCTCCCAGGAGGATGGGTGAGTTTCTTTTCGGGAATGGGTTGGGTTTTTCCCAGGTGGATGGGTAGCTTTCTTCTTGGGGAATGGGTTGGGTTTCTCCCAGGGGGATGGGTAGCTTTCTTCTTGGGGAATGGGTTGCGTTTCTCCCAGGGGGATGAGTAGGTTTCTTCTTGGGGAATGGGTTGGGTTTTCCCAAGGGGATGGGTAGGTTTCTTCTTGGAGAATGGGTTGGGTTTCTCCCGGGGGGATGGGTAGGTTTCTTCCTCTTCCCTCGCCTCTATTCTACTCGCTCTGACTTCTAATGTTTAAACTATTACCATTATGTCAGGTATTAGTTTTGAGAGTTTCGTGCTTCTACCATAAACTGCGCGACACTTCCAGCTATGGCTGGGCTACTTTCCGTGTGCTAACTCTGATGGTTGTTGTTGCAGACAGTGTCCGTCGTGTCCTGTGGTTGGTCCAGTATTCCTGTGTGGCTCTGACAACCGCACCTACTCATCCACGTGTCGTCTCAACTACCACAACTGCATACACGACGCTAACGTCCACATCGCTTGCAAAGGATTCTGTCCCTGTAAAGGTCAGTCGTTATATATATATATATATATATATATATATATATATATATTATATATATATATATATATATATATATATATATATATATATATATATATATATATATATATATAATATATATATATATACCAGAGAGATATTAATAATAATAGTTTTATGTTAATAGTCTTTACAGTTGAAAGATTCATTGTTCCTCACACAAAGGTCAATCCCATTTGCCTGATACATTTCTCCTCACAAGTACAGCCATCTTACGTAATGTATGTTTTCAAGGTGAAGCAACTGCTCAACTTTACCCAGTGTGAGGGTGTGTGTGCGTGAGAGAGAGATAGATAAACAGAGAGAGAGAGAGAGACAGAGAGAGACAGACAGAGACAGAGAGGAGGGGGTGAAAGAGGCTCTACTCAGCTAATACTTTCTTGAAGGTGAGACTTCAAGAATTTTTTCCCAGTCTTTGTCTTCTAATTTAATACCGACTTATGCAGAATTGTTATAACACGTTTAATTAGCACCCCAAGACGTTTGTATACACGATGGCCTCTTCCCTCATGGCTGCCACGCTGGCGCTCGTGTAGCGCCACGATCTCCGTGGTGGGAAAAAAAGAAATTGCTAAATTTCCGTTGTGTGTGAGCAAAGTGAGTGTCCATGTTTGATCCCCTGGTACGGGTGGAAACATTGAACTGCTGTCCCTGTTCACATAGCAGTAAGTAAGTACCTGAGTATTAGCCGACTCGTGTGGGTCGCATCCTGGGGCACAAAATTAACCTAAATTGCCTGAAATGCTCAACATAACAAGCGGCTTTCTGTATAGTAGTATGTCACTGATATCAGCTATGGTCTGTATACCTTGTACATGTACTGGTAGAAATAAATATTATTATTATTATTATTATTATTATTATTATTATTATTATTATTATTATTATTATTATTATTATTATTATTATTATTATTATTATTACTATTATTATTATTATTATTATTATTATTATTATTATTATTATTATTATTATTATTATTATTATTATTATATTATTACTACTATTTTATTATTATTATTATTATTATTATTATTATTATTATTATTATTATTATTATTATTATTATTATTACTACTATATTATTATTATTATTATTATTATTATTTATTATTATTATTATTATTATTATTATTATTAATATTATTATTATTATTATTATTATTATTACTTAGGAGTATATACACGTCATTTTTTTGTTGTAACTACAAATGTAAATTTTGGATTCTCAGTTTTTGGAGGACAGTAAGTCGTGAGAGATTTTGACCATTGCTTTAAAAAACACACGTAAACAAACACAAGGACGTGTTGAAAAGTGTTTCAGTCGTGGGACCATCATCAGTTCAGAAGTGATCAAGGTTTCAGGACCGAAACGTCTTCTAATACGTCCTGGTGTTTGTTTACTTGCCTCTTTAAACCACCTTGTCGGTGTCTGTTACCGAGGTTTATGTTATAAACGGTTTAGAAAACCGAAAAGTTGCAACGTTCAGGAATCTTTACTGAGGAAACGTTTCGCCAGCCAGTGGCTTCTTCAGTCCACTACAAAGAAGAACGGGAGAAAAAGAGAAGGTAAATCAGAGGTAATCAGTCCCTCAGCCTGGAACAGAGTTCAATCTATCAGTCTTCATGGACGGAACACATTGTTTCCAGCCTGAGGGGACTGAGTACCTAAACACCTTCTCTTTTTCCCCCGTTCTTCTGTGTATTGGACTGAAGAAGCCACTGGTTGGCGAAACGTTTCCTCAATGAAGATTCCCAAATCCCTCACCCAACCCTCTCAAGGAACTTCACATCCTTTACTCACCACTCAAAGGGCTTAAGTTCTAAAAATTTAAATTTAGAAAAGGTACAGGAAAAGCTATGGTTGGCTATCAAAATAGGTTAGGTAAGTATGTGAAATGAGTGTGAGTTAGACGTGCCTAGCATGGACCAGTAGGCCTGCTGTAGTGCTCTTTATTTCTTACGTTCTTGTGTTCTTATCTCTAACATGACATAAAAGGGATATTAGATCATAGGTGTATAATCTTGCAAGTTGATAAACAAGACACATGTATAACACCTAGGTATATCGAGAGATGTTTCGCCCACTAGGTTTCTTTATCAGTCTAACACTGACATACAAGGATGGAGTCTTTTATAGTGGAGCCAGTAGAAATAGAACAGTGCAGCAGTAGCAGATGCGCTCACATGTGGGTAAGGCCCACTAGTGGAATTAAGTCAGCATCAACTCATCCCCTTTGAAGGGTAGTAACGCAGACCAACTATATATGTGAAATAAAAACACTCATGTCAGTGATTAAACGTGTGAATACTGTTTTAAGTTTATGGGCGAAGATAAGTTATCTTGGTAGGAGTTACTGGAGTGTTTGCTCCTTGTTATGATGCACCACGACCCAGGAGGCAGTCAAGTCTCGTTATTCACAGGTAGTTTGCTTATACCGACCCTGTTCCTAATTCTGAAC